TCCCCATGACTCCCTTCACTTCTACCCCAGTCACCTCTCTGGTGGAAGCCCAGGATTCATGAAACAAAAATGCAAAATACAGTGGTACCTCAGGTTACATACACTTCAGGTTACATATGCTTCAGGTTACAGACTCTGCTAACCCAGAAATATTACCTCGGGTTAAGAACTTTGCTTCAGGATGAGAACAGAAATTGTGCAGCGGCGGCACAGCAGCAGGAGGAGGCCCTATTAGCTAAAGTGGTGCTTCAGGTTAAGAACAGTTTCGGGTTAAGAACAGACCTCCAGAACGAATTAAGTTCTTAACCTGAGGTACCACTGTACTTACTACTCTGCTCTCTCCAGTGTACCTCCAGCCAACCATATTATAACTGCAATGATACTAATTATAGAACAGAGCACTGAGGATAAGTGAACACTTCAGACCTCATGCCACTATAAGGTACCAACCAACCATGGGACATGGGTGGCACTGTGGTCTAAACCACCAAGCCCATTAAGCTGGTAAGGTCAACAGTTGAAATCTGCCTGATGGGGTGAGCTCCTGTCACTTTGTCCCAGCTCTTGCCAAGCTAGCAGTTAGAAAGCATGCCAGTGCAAGGAGATAAAAAGGTACTGCTGTGGAGGGAAGGTAAACGGCGTTTCCATGCTCTCTGATTTCCATTACGGTGTATTGTTGCACCAGAAGCGGTTTAGTCCTGCTGGCCACATGACCTTGAAAGCTGTCTGTGGACAAATGCCGACTCCCTCAGCCTGAAAAGCAAGATGAGCACCATACCCCATAGTCGAATTTGACTGGACTTACCCTCGTTAGGCCAGGACACTCCATATTTGCAACAGCTTTATGATCCCCATCTACGCAGAGCTCTTTCTCAAGCAAGATTTAACGTCTTACCATCTGCAGTTTTGCAAGATTATTAAAAAAAAAACATACTCTGAAAGACACTGCCCTTGTGGCACAAATCAGGTCGAATCCATAACACACATTTTATTTTATTGCCCATTTTATGAAAAAAAATTATGATACAATGTGTCCTCCCTAGAAGAGGGCACATGTTGTGTCGAGACCTGGAGACCGTCCTCCTGGTTGTGGGTATTGGACAGCCACAACACCCGATTGGTAGGTTCCTCGTTGCTGGGTTTAATCTGGCTAATGGGGAGCTGTCTAGATAGGCCGAGGGACCTTTATATGCATGTGACCCAGAGCTTCCTCTTTCGGCTCGTGCATCAGAACACCCACCCACCTCTCCCTATATTTAGGGCATTTTGTGATTGACCTTGCTATGCCATTGTGTATTGTCTGTCATTGGGACAGGGGCACAGCAGGAATTTCCCCCACTTGGCTGATTGGCTGCTGCCATTTGGGTTTCGCCTACCGCATAGCAAATTGTCACAACTTGTAAGGTTGTGGATAGGCACTAGTTCAGGTGACAGGATGGGAGAGCGGTCTCTCCATCCCTATGTGAAGGGTATTCTGTTAAAGGAATCCAGGGACTCAGCTTGGTTTGGTCAACCCCTGAGAGGGGGTTGTGCCCATGCCTGTGTCCACGGGAGCATCTTGGGTGTGGGCATAGTCCGTTCCTGGGCTTTCCACCTACCTCAGGTGTTCACCCTTGGCAGACCTATGATAGAGCTCTGGGTCAGCGCTACCTGCAAGGGGACAGGGAGCTAGTCGAACCAGAGCCTATGTGTTAGGTTTCCAAGGGGTTGCTCGAGAGCAAGCAGGCAAGTACCTCCCTGCTCGGCTGTGAAGCCTTGCTTTTGATGCAAAATAAACTTTATCTGTCCGGAGTGCCACTCTCCCATGGCTGACTCATTCACTGGCAGAATCCGTGAGTGGGCGGGGCTTAAACTTTCCCCAGCAAAGTAATTTCTTGATGCCCAGTCTGCGCCTCCCCTCTCTGCGTGAAACCTTACTGAGCAAGTAGGGCGTGGGTAACGGTGGACCTCTCCCCTCCCCGCTTTGCCCAGGCAAGGTGTCCTGGCAGCGCCTCGCCTCCTCCGAACCCTGCAGCTCCTCTCCACTGGAGGTGTGGTTACTCTCCCCCGCCGAGGAGGAGCTGCTTCCCACAATCTTTGGGGGCTCTCTGTAATCCATCTGGCTTTTCCTCTCTCCCTCCTGAACCGATGGCAGTTCCCTGACACTATGCAACCACTCACTTTCTGTAATCAATAAAGTTGTGGCCTAAATTCTGCCAAAAAACCAAACCAAAACTAAAATTTGAGTCAAATGTGTGTTTATTTAAGGGGGAGGTCTTTGGGTCTGAACATGCAAATATTTGGCCTCCTTATTGAAGGAGGGGATTTATCACACTGACTCTTCCAGGGTGTCTTATCTGCTGAACAATTGTAGGAATGACATTGTGGAGAATGTGGCAAGATTTTTGACTGACGCTATGAAATTATGTCACCATAGGTCCTAAAAGCCATTTTCATACCTCATAACGTTTGGACAGTTTTATCCTAAAGTATCTCCGACTATGTTTTGTTAACTGTGTAGTGGTCTGATCCATGTATATGATGCACTTTTTACTGGACTTAACCGTCCAGGGGTCCTCTACCTTTTTTTTACCTACCAACCAACACTTGCAGCTGGGCACCTGTTTCATTATAAAGAAAACAAGGCTGTGTGCACACTATGAATTTAAAATACAGTTTACACCTAACAGAGCTACAATTCCCAGCACCCGTAGCATGTGGGGGAAGTAATGTGCTTTAAATGTACTTTAAATTATGGTGTGTGCACAGCCCGCAGGAATAGTTGCCAATGACGACAGTTCCTTTTGTGTTTATTTAAGGAAATGCCTTAAGTACTCACAGTGCTCAGGGCAGCTTATACCACCCCATATGCAGTAGTTACAAAATAATTAATAACAGCAACCACAATAAATATGTGTGGTGCATTATTTTTGAAACAGGAAGGAAATAATTAAAAAGCGGCAAAACAGAAATAGGTACAGAAGGTTGAAACAGCTTCTATGCTTCTTGTTTTCCTTTCGGAAGCACTCAGTTCTAAATTCAAATTCTAGAATGAAAATGTAATAGCTAGAAGGCATGGAGAGAAGGGGGAAATGAATCTACCAAAGCAAGGGGTTCCATAATCTACGCATGGCTACTGATTATGGGTTGCAGCCAATGTTCTACACAGAGCTTACCCATTCAAACTGATGCGCATGACATATTGATTTTGAGACTTTGTAACCCTTATTTGAATACAGCCCAAGGTCTTCTCCAGCATCCCAAACAGTTATGTCTAGGTTGGCAGAGAGGCAGAGAGAAGAGCAAACAAGCTGGAAGAGAAGTAGGTTAGTTTGTTTTAGTTGGCCTGAGCTGAAGCCAGATAGAACTTTAAATATAATTGCAATCACTTGAAATTGTGCCCATCTAGAAGTGGATGTAACCAAGGTATGCACCACCATGGCCAGATCTGACCTTCTCAGGAGTGGCTGCATCTGATGCATCAACCTAAACTGGGAGCCAGGGTGTGTAATAATTGGAGTTTTAGACACTGGTTAGGGAGACCAGGGCTCAAATCCCCATTTAGCTGTGAAGTTCCGTGGGTGACCAGTCACTGACTCACAGCCTAACCTACCTTACAGAGTCGTTGTGAGAATAAAACAGAGAGGGAGAGAATGGTTAAGGATTCCCTGTCTGAAACCATGGACCGCTGCTGCCAATCAGTGTAAATAATAATAATAATAATTGTTGTTGTTGTTTATATGCTGCCCATCTAACTTGGTTGCCCCAGCTACTCTGGGTGGCTTCCAACAAATTAAAACAAAATTTAAGGACCAACACTGAAATAAAGACTTGTCTGTCTTCATCAGGAGACAGACCATCTGTGAGTGCTCAAGGAACCCATGTCTTCCCTCAAATGATTGTTTTTTCTGTCCACATGTCTGGTCTAATATCTGCAAAACACCAGTCCTTTGGGCAAATAAAACGTCTAAAAATCACAGGGATCTGCTTCTCAGTCATGGAACCCAATCTGTCAAAAAATGGTGAATTTAAAAGGGTCCCAGAACAAAAGGCAGGCTCAGGATCTTTTCAGTTGGCATCACAGCTGCACTGCCTGGTTTGTCAGAGCTGGACTCGCTTTTCCATAAGGGCTTCCAGCTGCTCTTGAAGAGAGGCCAGCTGAACTATGTGGACCATTGGTCTGAATCAGTACAACGCAGCTTCCTGTGTTCTTGTGTTGGAGGAAAGGGGGGATATCAACATAATAAGAGAAAAAATCAAGCACCTCTGGCTGTCTTGACATCCAGTAGTAAAACGAGGCATTCCCAGACTCCAAACCTTGCTTTCCAAGAAGAAGAGTTTGGATTTGATATCCCGCTTTATCACTACCTGAAGGAGTCTCAAAGCGGCTAACATTCTCCTTTCCCTTCCTCCCCCACAACAAACACTCTGTGAGGTGAGTGGGGCTGAGAGACTTCAAAGAAGTGTGACTGGCCCAAGGTCACCCAGCAGCTGCATGTGGAGGAGCGGAGACACGAACCCGGTTCCCCAGATTGCAAGACTACCGCTCTTAACCACTACACATCCATCCAAAATAGGCTGACTATCCCCCAAGATTGGTCCCTCAGATAACACCTGCTTGGATTACAGTGGTACCTCGGGTTAAGTACTTAATTCATTCCGGAGGTTTGTTCTTAACCTGAAACTGTTCTTAACCTGAAGCATCACTTTAGCTAATGGGGCCTCCTGCTGCCGCCGCGCTGCCAGAGCATGATTTCTGTTCTTATCCTGAAGCAAAGTTCTTAACCTGAAGCACTATTTCTGGGTTAGCAGAGTCTGTAACCTGAAGCGTATGTAACCTGAAGTGTATGTAACCTGAGGTACCACTGTATACTTAATTGCATTGGCTTTTAGCCAGACCATGACCATCTTCATCAGAATATCAACAACTTCAGTTGGAATCAGTTCTGTGAGGGGAAGGGCTCAGTGGATGTTGAACCTGGAGAAAATTGTCTGAAACAGAACCAAAGTGGAAAGTGGGGGGTTACTGTAATTCAGTGGTAGAACATCTGCCTTGCATGCAGAAAGTCCCAAATTCAATCCTTGGCATGTCCAGGAAGTACTGGGAGAGCCCCCAGTCTGGGAGAGACCCCTGGAGAACTTCTGCCAGTCCGTGTGGACAATACTGTGTAATATAGTGGTAACGCCTCAGGTTACAAACGTTTCAGATTACAAACTCTGCTAACCTGGAAGAGTTACCTCGAGTTGAGAACTTTGCCCCAGGATGAGAATGGAAATCATGTGCCGGTGATGCAGCAAGAGGCCCTATTAGCAAAAGCACACCTCTAGTTAAGAAGAGTTTCAGGTTAAGAATGGACCTCTGGAACGAATTAAGTTCATAACTAGAGGTACCACGGTATAGCTTCCTATGTTCCTAACCAATTCAGCCACAGTTCAACCTGTACTAAACATTGACTCACTGGATGAGATGCTTGTCTTCCTCCTACCTGCAGCAATAAGTATGTAGGAAGGAATCATATTTTGAAAGGAGAGTTTCTTACCTCACTAATATGCCAACAATCAATCTCTCTCTCTCTCTCTCTCTCTCTCTACACCAGTGTGGTGTAGTGGTTAAGAGCAGTAGACTCGTAATCTGGTGAACCAAGTTCATGTCTCTGCTCCTTCACATGCAGCTACTGGATGACCTTGGGCCAGTCACACTTCTCTGAAGTCTCTCAGCCCCACTCACCTCACAGAGTGTTTGTTGTGGGGGAGGAAGGGAAAGGAGAATGTTAGCCACTTTGAGACTCCTTCGGGTAGTGATAAAGCGGGATATCAAATCCAAAGTCCTCCTCTTCCTCCTCCTCCTCTTCTTCTTCTTCTCTCTATGGCCAGGGGCAGATCTTCTATGAAACTAATGAAGCTTACGCTTGAGGGCACCTAATCCCAGAGGGACCCTAGAAGTAACTGTAGTCCACATTGCTTTTTTGGGTCTAGCAGATCCAATTTGATTAATTTTTTTTAATCAAATTGATATTATTATTATTTATATATTTCAACAATTTCAAAGTTTGACAGTCAGCAGCACAGATGTTGTAAAGGTGTGGTGATCTGTTGTGGAACAACCGATTTGAAAAAAAGATAACAGCAGTTACCCTAACCTCACTGCTTTGTAACCAGCAGTCCCCATGACAGTTCAAGATTCAGGGCCCCCCAAATGTAGGTCCACCACTGTGTCTGTCTCCATCTTCTTTTTCTTCTTTTTTAGGTTGATGGATAAAATCCCCAAATACACAAAAAGTAAGAACCTGGTCATCACATATCCTATTGAATTATAGATAATATTTACTCTGTAGGGCATGGAGCTGCCATACTTCTATCTCCACTGTCAGATGCAGTAAATCAGAAGTAGGGGGCGTGTCCTTTGCTCATGCTTATGGGCTTCCCAGAGGCATCTGACTGGCCTTTATGAACAAAGTAATGCACTAGATTGACTTTTGGCATAATCCAGCGGGGCTGTTCTTATTACAGAAGAAGGGTGTGTGTGTGTGTGTGTGTGTGTGTGTGTGTGTGTGTGTGTGTATTCTACAGCATTCAGAATTTATCAGCTTCTACCTCTTTCAAGTCTCCTCCTTGCCCAAAAGCTATATATATATTCATATTATTGTTGTCTTTCTTTGAAGGGAAGGCACTTCAACCTCCAAGTTGCCATGGTTGCTCTTTTTTGACTCCTTCTCCTAGCTCTCAAATACCCTCTATTTAGTCTCTTTTTTCAAACTGGGGGTAAAAAATCACTGCACATGGTTCCTGATCCTGGGACAGTGGGTGGTATCCAAATAATGTGCCCTATTAGTGCAGGTATTTCTGCTTCCCCTCCCTCTCCTCCACCATATGCGCACCCTGAAACCTCCCTAAATCCAGAGGATTGGGGGAAACCCTTGAATAGAGTTGCCGGGTTTGGGGTAGGGGGGATCCTGTTGTGCAAGTGGAATCATTGTGCTCATGGGAATGTGACTTGGTGCTTTCTTAGATACAACCCAAAATGTTCTTCTCTCTTTTCCGAATTATAAGAATATAGGAAGAGGCTACCTGGCTCAAAGGCCCATCTAGTCCAGCATTCTGTTTTCACAGTTGCAAACCAAATACTTAGGGAATTATAAGTCTCTTGTGAGCACTCCACTTTTTGCCATTAAGTAGACATACTTGGGACGTGGGTGGTGCTGTGGGTTAAACCACAGAACCTAGGACTTGCCAATCAGAAGGTCGGTGGTTTGAATCCCCATGATGGGGTGAGCTCCCGTTGCTCGGTCCCTGCTCCTGCCCACCTAGCAGTTCGAAAGCACATCAAAGTGCGAGTAGATAAATAGGTACCACTCTGTCGGGAAGGTAAATGGCATTTCCGTGCGCTGCTTTGGTTCGCCAGAAGTGGCTTAGTCATGCTGGCCACATGACCTGGAAGCTGTACGCTGGCTCCCTTGGCCAATAAAGCGAGATAAGCGCTGCAACCCCAGAGTCAGTCACCACTGGACCTAATGGTCAGGGGTCCCTTTACCTTTACCTAGACATACTTGATAGTTCTTTTTCAGTCTACTTTTTTTAAAAAGCAAACTGACCTGTTCTACATGGACCTTATCCTCTTTTCTGTTTGTTTTTATTTGTTTTTGCAAGACAACACAAAATTTTGTGTTGCATATGTCAACTCAAGAAGAAGCCTACCAAAAATATGTTTTCTAAAATGGAGATTTATATTAAAATGCTCACAAATCCCTCACTAAAAAAGTTGGGGATGCCTGAACACATTACCATCCAGTCTGCCGTAGTTTTGCATAGGGACAAGCCTAAAACTTGGAGTGGAAGAAAAACCACGCTGCCCATGCTCACCATACAACTCCTCACGAAAACAATATAATTGCATCAGGTCTTGTTGCTCCCAGGGAGACTTGCTCTATTCTATTCAAAATGTGCAATGGCAAGAACTGTGTGCCAGCTATGAGTGGATGTATAATTTCTGAGGCTTTTTAAAAGGATTTTTGTTAATGGACAGAGGCTGGAGCACGGGAGCCCTCAGACTGCCTCACAATGGGATCTACAGGACTGCAGATTCTATAGCAGATAAAAGTGAGTTCATGATCTGAGTTATGCAGATTTGTCCTCCATCCCTAATAAAAATGTATACTGAAATATTTTCAGTAATAGTGGAGAAACAGGGATGGCACAGACTTAAGAAGAACACACGTGAAATGGATATGGTCTGGAAATAGACATATCCAACCATACCCGCTCTCAGAGAATCTTTTTTTGGGGGGGGGGGGCTTGGGTTTTTCTGCTCCATGTCACCAGAGAAGCAGCAGAGCAGAAGTAACCATGACTTCAAGTCATGTCATTAAACAGGATCCAAGGTGGCTTCATTCTTCTTCCTCCCCACTACCCTGAGTCATTGCAGCAAATAGGTCGAACTCTTTGTTACAAGAGATGCTGTCTCAGGAGCGCAGGCAATAAATCCAGGAGGTTCCTTTATTACAGCTTCTTCCTCTCAAAACACTATTGTAAAACAAAACGAGCACATATCAGAATGCCAACCTCCTGGAATGCATTTGAGCATTAAAAAAATAAATAAAGAGCTTTTGAATTCCCCAGCGCTTACGCCCACAGATCAGATTTATCTGAAAAGACTTCTTGGTTTTAAAAGGAAAGGAAAAGTCACAAACCCATTGATGGAAAACCTGCCTATCATCCATCATATAGCAGGAGAATTGAGCATCAGGCCCATCTATTTTAGGGGTGGGGAATGCTTTTCAGGCTGAATGCCACATTCGTTCATGAACAATATTCTAGAACCTGTAGGATGGGCAGGGCCACAGGCAAATGTGGAGATGTGGAGATGAGGAGTAGATGTGATTCATTCTTTTGTGTGATAGGCAACATTGCATCCATGCAAAAGCAATAGGCTTTTACACCACCACCCACGAACATGATACATCTTGTCTGCCTGTAATCCAGGGAACATAGCTCAAAATCATAGCTCAAGAATGCCTTCCAGCCAAGAAAATAAATAAACAAAGCATTCTAGGGGTCCAGAGCAAGATCAGTGCTAAACCCAATTGAAACTTTGGCCTGTACCTCTCAAATCATGGTGGTGGGCTCTAGGGTCTTGGCCAAAGACATGTGACACCAAACTGTGATCTTGCAATTCATCAAACAGATAAATATCAAGCTTCACATAGAGTGAAGTGTACATGCACGCCAATAGAGGTATAAGTAAAGGTAAAGGGACCCCTGACCATTAGGTCCAGTCGAGACCGACTCTGGGGTTGCGGCGCGCATCTCGCTTTACTGGCCGAGGGAGCCGGCGAACAGCTGGTCACATGGCCAGCATGACTAAGCTGCTTCTGGCGAACCAGAGCAGTGCACGGAAACGCCGTTTACCTTCCCGCCAGAGCGGTACTATTTATCTACTTGCACTTTGATGTGCTTTCGAACTGCTAGGTTGGCAGCAGTATAGTGAAGTATTAAATCTGCTACAACCATGATGCAGTGCGACCTGAAGCAAAACATACATGTGTGGGACTGAAAGTGGGCATATCGTCTTAAAAGCAACAAACCTCATGATGCAATGTGTCTGAGAATAACATTGCTATCTGCTCAAACACCGAGGACCTTTAATTGAAATGAGGAATGGACAATGTGGAAAGGATGGTAGAAACAATTTAAACACTGAATGCTCAGATAGGCAGATTGTTTTTTCACAGGAAGATACATCTGCTTCAGGGTTTGGAACATGGAAATAGAAACAAAACATCTCCTGCAGGTTTCAGACCTCACTAATTTCATCCTGCTTCCACAGATAACCACAATACTTCTCATTTCTAATCCCAACTGATCAGGAACACGCTGCTATGTGTGTATACACTGGCATTGTTTCTCCTCCAGATTCCATTCTCTTCTGGAACTTGCTTCAGCTTCCAAGGAAGGGTTTTTCATTTGCTATACCTAATTACTGTTGCAGGTTAATTGTGAAGAACAGAGCTCAATTGCCCCAGTTTAAAGGACCCTTTTGGATATGTTTGCATAAATGCAGACTCTCCAAGTGTCCCTATTTTCCAGGGGAAGTACCG